ATGGGAAACAAGGCTAGCACCGAGTGGATGTGGTTAGGAAGGTGGCCTAGTTGAGTATGAGATTAGGCACAATGAACTTCCTTGGACATCCCCTAAACCATGTGCCTACATGGGTTGATTATTAGTTCTACCTTTGGCAAGTAGAACACCTTCCACGGAGTAGGGTAGACTCCGGATTCCATGCCTAGCTAGTATGGTCTATGTCGGTTATGTCTATTCCCATCATGTGGGATGTGCACTCTAGTTATTGGATAGGTTCTACAAAGTGTAGGTGGTAGTATGGGATGCTATCTACACATTGCACGAGTAGGCCTAGAAGATGCTAAAGTGAGTTCCCTAAGTCTAAATGACTATTAAGTGGAAGTCCCCTAAATGCTTAAATGTCTCTTAAAGTGGTTCATTAAAGAATTTTGATTTAGTATGTTATATTGTAATGGTACATTCCTTATCTATGGTAACCCTTAGGAACACTTAGGTGTATATAAAGAGATTGTATGGGCGGTCACTTCATGTTTCACATAAGTGTGGCTTTGGGTAACTTGAGATAGAGGTCATGAAATGATGAAAAGGCTTACTTGTCGATTATGTTCATGTATTGTACATTGGTACTAGTTGAGTATGTCTATTATGTGGGTATTGTCTTATATGTGGATGATGACGTGAAATGTGTCTCTTATAATTGTGATATGAAGGTTTTATCAAAAATGGCATGAAAGCATATATTTCAAATAAAGGTCCTTTTTAGCATGTTTTTGCATGGTCATCATACTTAGTACTTAATTGCGCTAATTCCATATTTCTCTTCCTTTTTTTTACAAGTGTAGGTTCCGGAAAGTGAACGGGTTCTATAGTAAGCTTGGAACTTGAAGTTCTTCCAAGATCTTGTGGTATGTCCTCATATGTCGAGGACAAGACTTTTCTATTCTAGTTTTATGATAAGGTTCTTGTAATAGACTTAATAGACTTCTTTTGATTGTAAAGGGCCGTGTCCCTAGTATGTTTTCACGTTTATGTCTAAGATGGCTAAGAGACTTAGTATTCCGCTTGTGTACTTTTGAATGATGTTTTTAAAAGTGACCTTTGAGTCTTATGGGATTTTATTTAAAGAGTTTTTTTTATTCCGCACTATTTTACATATCTAATGTGATGAATGCTAAGGGCTTGTATGAGACCTCCGATAGGACGAATACGCATGTTACAACTTGGGGATGCTCTCGGGTCGTGACACTATGTCGGTTGATCGATGGAGCAGGGCACAGATGATGCGGGTAGGCCACGATCGACGTCGGTTGATTGATGTGCACAGGCCACGATCGATGTGGGCAGTCCACGGCCTATGTCACATGACCGATGCGCATGCCATGACCTATGTGGCCTGGCTGATGCGCGCAGGCCACGACCTATGTCGATTGGCCGATGCGTGCATGCCACGACCTATGTCACCTGCCAGATGTGCGTAGGCCATGGCCTATGACGTCTGGTTGATGCATGCAGGCCACGACCAATGTCGCCCAGCCGATGCGCACATGCCACATCAGGCCTTGGATGATGCTTCCTGTCGTTGGCCGGCGTCGGTTGGCCGATGAGCATAGGCCATGTTCGATACGTGTAGGCCTTCACTGATGTTGTCTTCCATTGGCCGATCGGTGGATCGGCTCGTCACCGTTCCACATCTGACCGGGGCGCATCGTCGACCCCCATCTTCTTCCATCCCGACAATTTCAAGCACTCTTTGACTCTCTTTTCAAAGTCCTTTTGCATCTTTCCCTCATGGTACTTGTTTGTTATCGGTTTCTCGCCCGTATTTAACCTTTGACAGAATTCACCGCCCGATTTGCGCTGCATTCCCAAACAGCCCAATTCATAGATAGCGCCTCGTGGTGCGACAGGGTCCGGACACAACGGGGCTCTCACCCTTTTTGGTGCTCCCTTCTAGGGGACTTGGGCCCGGTCCACCGTTGAGGACGCTTCTCCATACTACAATTTGGACGACGGAGCTTCCCGATTATAAGGTTGGGTTGTTCCTGGTTCGCTCGCCGTTACTAAGGGAATCCTTATAAGGTTTGTTCCTCTGCTTATTGATATGCTTAAACTCAACGGGTAATCTCGCCTGACCTAGGGTCGCAGTCGGAGTGCCATTCTTAGTCGGCGCAGTAAGGGCTTGGGAGTCCAGACGCACGACGGGCTGTAGCCGCAACAACAAGAGAGAGTTGAGTTTTGACCACCACTTGTCGCAATGTCCGTCAGCGTGGACTCGCATTTAGGCCAGCCGCGCACTCGGGGTGCATGGGAGCAAGCTTTCGCACCGCGTGACACCTTGCGGTGTGCGGGGGAAGGGGGGACGCAAACGGATATCCTAGGCGAAAGTTACGATCGTTTGTAATTTCACCAAATTACGATCGTTTGAAAAAGTAGTTGTAAATTGGTGAAACTTCAAACGGTCATAATTTTGGCCTTTGATGTCCTATTCAGGCAATTTTTTAAAAAATTCAAGCATTTTTTTGACATCTATGCGAACAAGCGGTTTGACCTAGCCAATTTTTTGAAGAACGTCTTTTAACCCATTCAATTTTTGAATTTCCCCCCAATTTTGAAGAAAATTGTAATTCTTTATTGCTAAGAATCTGATAAAAGAAATTGATTTTTGAGTTTGAAATACTTTGATAATGCATATATGAATGTAAATTTTAATGCTAGATAATCAATTTTCTGATAGACAGCTTTTATCCCAAAATTTTTAAATTTCCCCCAATTTTGCATAAGTATTTTTGTTCCTTAAATTGGGGGAAATTTAAAAATTTTGGGATAAAAGCTGTCTATCAGAAAATTGATTATCTAGCATTAAAATTGACATTCATATATGCATTATCAAAGTATTTCAAACTCAAAAATCAATTTTCTTTTATCAGATTCTTAGCAATAAAGAATTACAATTTTCTTCAAAATTGGGGGAAATTCAAAATTGAATGGGTTAAAAGACGTTCTTCAAAAAATTGGCTCGGTCAAACCGCTTGTTCGCATAGATCTCGAAAAAATGCTTGAATTTTAAAAAAAATTGCCTGAATAGGACATCCGAGACCAAAATTATGACCGTTTGAAGTTTCACCAATTTACAACTACTTTTTCAAACAATCGTAATTTGGTGAAACTACAAACGATCGTAACTTTCACCTAGGATATCCGTTTGACGCAATTTTATTTTTGATCGTGGGTATTTTTTCGAGATCTATTCGGTCAACTCCTTAATTTGTTTTGCTGTTTTATCGTATTATATTTTTATTTATATAGAATAATAGTCACACAAGGTATTTAGGTAATTTTTTGTTCTAATATTATATATAGTGTTGACACCCAATTTTGACCCTCTACGATTTAATTAGGAGCAAATATCATTTGTGGATAATCATATCAAGACCCACTTTAGCCCATAAGTCCAATATTATATGGCATATATAAGGCTTATTTAGGTCTTATTTTTAGAAATACAGGAGAGAAAAATCAAGAGAGATCCGTTTTAGAGATTGCGAGAAAGAGAGGAAAATCTCATTTTTGCTTAAGGAAATTTTCTGCTCAGGTAGTCCACTTCAAACAGAGTGTCGTTTTGTTAACCGTTGGATAGTGCTAAAATTTGAATTGGGAGTTCTCAACATCTGGTTCTTGCAATTCAACGGTAGAGATCAGATTTGTAGGTCTGTAGCTTCTGATTTTGGGGTGTGAATAGTAGCTCGTTTTTAGGTGAAATATCTCCTTTAATTCTCTATTTTTGGTGCAATCTTTTTTTATTGTTGCTCGTTGTTTGGCACTTGTTTTGTGGCCAATTTTGTAACTCTTGGTGTTTATAGTGGAGCTTTTGGTCCTGTGATTTTTTACTCTTCACATCGAAGGATTTTTCACGTAAATCTCTGTGTTTTGTGTGATTGGTTTATTCTTGCCTTATTGATTTAGTTTGGTTGATATATTTGTTGTCCATTCTTCGTATTGCTTGATTTAGTTTGTCTTCTCTTGGTTCAAATTGAAAGGGAAAGTTTAGACTTGGATATTTTTCTGGTGTTATCCTGTCCGGCATTCTCGTTAGTGTCTTGCCTTTCCCAACAAAGTGGTATCAGAGTCAGGGTCAATGGTTCATTGATAGAGTCAGGTTCAATGGTTCATTGAAGATGTAGCCAAGTTGGATGGTTCAATGATGGAACCAGGTTTAGAGATAGGTGTTCATCTTGGCGGGTGTAGTTCTAGTCGCAACCTTTTTTACAGTAATGAAGATTTTTTTTAGAGAAATTATTTCAGAGAGGCTTTCTGTGTCGAGACGTAGTTTTGATGGAGGAGATTATGAAAAAGATATGCAAGATCCTAGAGATTATGTGAAGAAGGTGGACAAATTTATATTGTCAGAAATTCAGGCCAAGGGGGAGATTTGTTGGGTATTAATTGCCCTGAGTTTCTTACCATAAATAAGTTTTCCTTTTAGGAAAAAGTTTTTGATTAGCTAGTCTTTTTCTTGTAGGAGAAAGTGTAGGACTCTATAAAAAGAGGTTTGTTCCTTCTAACTTAATCAACATTCACAATGTAGTCCTAGAGTTTTGAGAGTTTCGGTTATGGGGGAGAATTTGTGAACCTCCTTGTATTCTAAGTGAATTTGATTGAGATTATTTCTCTCTATATTTTGTAATCTCATGTTTATAGTGGATTGTTCATATCCTTTGTGTATGTAGGTCAATTGACCGAACCACGTTAAATCTTTGTGTCTTTTGATGTGTTTCTCGTTTGTCTTCTTACTCATGATCTTTCTAGATTTGCTTTTGTAGCGACCCTTTTCAAAAAGACCTAACTTATACTTGCCACATTCAAAAGCGATTAACGAGGGCATACTGGTTATAATCTAGTAGAGGGATTAGATTCATAATGACCTCCGACAAGTAATTTAAGCAAATAACCGACGAGGTTTTCATGTATATATATATATATATATTATCCTCACACTCAAGGATGAAATAACAAGAATATCACAAGCTTTCGAGTACCGAAATCAGCCTGCTCATGCTTTACACAACATTCAAAACAAATAGTAAATTTAGTATATTACAAGACTTGGGTTTACACACCCCCAAAAAGATTAAAAATGTATAGCGATACTTGTATTACAACCCATGGTGGCATGACCAAATCAGCCCTCAAATTCTCATGTAAATGTACAACACATAAATCATGTACAAGTCCCAAGGTTTATACAAAATATATATGCCTATATGCAAATGTGATCTTCCTTAAAGCTTTCAAAATCTCCATCTTCAATGGCCAACTTCAAGCATCCTCTCGAACATTCCCTACGATAGAAACAACTATCGCTAAGCATATAGCTTAGTGGTGTAAAAACTATAGATTCGGAGCCCTCAGATTCACCAAGTTACCTTTCTCAAGTCATGGGCAGCACCATTGAACATAATAAATAAATCAAGTAAACAATATATACAGAGTGTCAAGTTCAATATTTAAAGATCCAAATGTCAAGAACGCTCATAGCACCATTTTTCAAGAGATTCAATAACAAGGCTCGCCCAATATATACATCATGTCGTCACACCAAGCACAAGCAGATATCAAGAAGGGCCGACGCCCTGTATCAAGAAGGGCCGACGCCCAATAATCAAGAGAACCAAGAACCATATTAAAAATGGCTTTCTAGTTCGTACATAAAATGGACAACTTCCATTCTTAAGACGAACTAAAAATCCAGAGTCAAGCTGGAAATTGATCCGAATCAAGAGGCATGACAATAGTGACAAAGTCATAGCCACAAGAAGGACACGGTCCCAACAAGAGTGTCAAGTGATCAAACAATCCGTACAAGTGGGCGAGGTACACAAACGTCTTTAACGTCTTAAAGGATACCAACATGACAATGCAAAGTGACAGAGGTAACCAAGATCAACTTTCAGATATACCAACAGTTAAAAGAGTGCAAGTACAAGTTTATACACAAACCTCAGTGCTTTAGCAAAGAAACAGTCCAACACAACTTCGCGAGTTCAGACCGTAGACCAATCAACGTTTCAAGGTCCTTAACTTGTTCATGAGTATATACAACCTTAAAAATACAATTAAACAACTTCTTTAATTCCTAGTATCTCAATAATGTTGAAGTAAAACAGGATTATCATCACAAGTAAGCTTAGCCTGTACAAATACGGCTATGCTCCCAAAACAATGATTCAGGCCAGCCTAATACCTTATGTCGCAACTTAGATTTGAAAAGGAAAACGGAAAAACTAGACTTTATATTTATATCCATTACTAAATATAAAACAAATATTGAAAATTTTCACAAATGCAACCTAGATTCAGACATCAATTGCAGACAGCTTCACAGTCAACCCAGACCATATTAAAATGTTTATTATCAATATGTATAGTTCAGGAGTTTGAGCCTAGATGATAAATGATATGATAAATGTTCCAACTCACCGCACAAGAACAAATGATGACGCCTACAGCTGCCAATGCTGAAGTAATATCCGCCATCATGCCTAAAGAATTGTAGTGGTTTGAGATGTCATCCATGACAAGTAATAAACCAAAAAATGTTGCTACATTAAAATTTCTATTAGTCAACAAATAACCAGGTCATACATAATGTGCATATGTAAATGAACATATAAGGTTAATAAACTGGAATACATGTAGTTGGAACTATACAAAAAACATCAAAGACAAAAAAGAACAAAAGTTAGATCTTCTACATCGATGGAATCCCGCCTCCCCCCCTCCCCCCCCCCCCCCCCCACCCACACACACACACCCC